TCTGTGTGTGTTTGTTGAAGAAAAAATGCCTCAAAATTTGATGAATTCCAACGTATTTGTTAATTTTTGTTGCTTATCCTTTTAATGTCATGTTTAAGAAACCATTGTCTGCTCCAAGGTCATGATGATTTAGGCCTATGTTTTCTACCAAATATGTTATAGTTTCAGCTCTTCCATTTATGTCTATGATTTATTTTCAGTTATTTTATATGGAATTTGGTATTATTCTGCATATTCATCATTCTTTTGGATATCCAGTTGTCCCAGCACTATTGATTGAGAAGACTTTTTTCTACATTGAAATGTCTTGGCTCCCTTGCTTAAATCAATTGACTATAAATGTTAGGATTGACTTTTGGATTCTCAATTCCATTTTATTGAAGTCTTCTTATACTGTACTACACTGTACTACATCCTTTTCTTAATGGCTTACTATACAGTCTTGATTATTGTATCTTGCAGTACATTATGAAATCAAGAAGGGTGATTCTTCCAACTTCATTCTTCTTTTTGAAGACAGTTCCAGCTACTCTGAGTCCCTTGCATTTACATATGAATTTTAGCATGAGCTTATCAATTTTCTTGTCAGCTTGCAACAAAGCAAACTGAGATTTTGATAGGAATTTTGTTGAATCTGAAGATAAATTTGGGGAATATTTACATCTTAATGATTTTAAATCTTCTGAATGGATGAAGATACCATGTCTTTCCATTTATTTAGGTCTTTAATAAAACCTTGTTTTGTAGTTTTTAGAGCATACATTTTTGAGTATTATAAAAATGTATGGTAACTTTTATTATGTTTGATGCTCTTATAAATGTAAATCTAATGTTTTGATTATGGCTTGCTACTGTAAATAAATATATTTAATTTTTATATTGATTTTGTACCCTGAAATTTGTTGAACTCATTTCTGATTTCTAATAGCTTTCTAGAAGATTGCTTAGGATTTTTTGTCTGTAAAATTATGTAACATACAAATATAGTTTTACTTCTTTTTCAATTTGAATGTTTTAATTACATTTTCTTGTCTAATTACCATGTCTAGAACTGCCAGAAAAATATTGAATAAAAATGTTGAAAGCAGACATTCTTGTCTATTCACAATACTGAGAAAAACCGTATTACAATTTACAGCGCCATTTATAATTTTGGCTGTAGGGTTTTTGTAGATGTTCATCATCATGTTTAGGAAATTCTATTACTGGTTTGTCGAGTGCCTTTATTGTGAAGGAATGTTGGATTTTATAAAATGCTTTTTTTACATTGTCTTAGTCCATTTTCTGTTGCTATAACATAATACCATCGACTTGGTAATTTATAAAGACAAAAACTGTATTTCTTACAATTCTGAAGGTTGAGAACTCCAAGGTTGAGGGGCCACATCTGGAAGGTTTCATTTGGTAAGAGAAAAAGGATGAGTGTCAGCTTTCTTCCTCTTGTTAAAAAGCCTTCAGTCCCACTATAGGGATCCAATCCCGATTACCTTATCTAATCCTAATTACTTCTCTAAGGTCCCATCCTCTAATCAACATATGAATTGGGGGATCACGTTTCAAAACATGAAATGTGAGGTACACATTCTAGCCACAGCATGCATTTGAGATGATCATGAGGCTTTGTCTTTTCTTCTGTTATATGGTATATTACATGAGTTGATTTTCTGATGTTAAACTAACCTTGCATTACTGAAATAAATCCCACTTGGTCTGGTGTGTAATCCTTTGTACATATTGCTGAAATCAGTTTGCTAGTATTTTTTTGAGGGATTTTGTGCTCACATTCACAAGAAATATTGGTCTATAATTTTCCTCTCTTGTCATGCGTTTGTACAGTTATTGGTGTCCTAATGTCTTCTATTCCTCTGAGGGTCTGTTTATTTTTACTTACTGTTCTTCTCTCTCTTCCTCAGATTACATAATCTTTGCTGACCTACCTTTAACCTTGTTAATCTTTCTCTTGACAGCTCATATATTCTGTAGGGACCCTCTATTCAATTTTCATTTCAGTTATTGTGCCTTTAACTGTAGAATTTCCATTTTCTTTTCTTAAAAATAGTTTCTATGTCTTTATAGATATTATATATTTGCTGAGACATTGTCATCATACTTTACTTCTTTAGGTAGGTTTTCCTTTTTTTTTTTTTTTACATGTTTACAATGATCGCATTGAGTTCTTTGTTAAATCTAACATCCAGGCCATCTTATAGATAATTTCTTTTCCCTGCTATGTATTTCTGGTGTTTAAATTATATTTTTCTATACTTTTTGTGTGCATATCTCTTAAATTTTTTGTGAAGGCTGAACATTTAAAATGATATATTGTAGCAAGATTGGATACTTATTCTTATCCAGCCACTCTGGCCAATGTTGTTACTTGCTTATTTATTTGTTTAGTTACTTGGCCAGTCTATTTTAGTAATGTCTATTTCTCTTACATTGTGAAACTTCTGATGTTACTTCTTAGCCATATGTATATTTATCCTGGGAGCATCCCTAATCACTAAATTGAGATTTTGACTTTGTTGATTTTATACCTACCAGTTAAACTCCACTAATTACCCATGGATTTCTCTGTTGTTTTCAACAGTGTCCTAGAGTTTAAATTGCTCCATAGTCTGATCTAAATCTCCTGGTCTAAACCTCAGGAGAGCTCTTAGCTTTCTCTTTCCTTGGTTCTCTCTGGTAAATTAACTGGCCTATGGTTTAGTTTGTCGCTCTCATAAAGCTACCATCTTCCTAATTGCTCATTACTCCGTATTCATTGTTTTTGAGAAATTTGAATTTTCCCACACTCTATTTCAAATAAGGTTAGTTCTTTGGCAAGAGCTTTGGAGCTCTTTGTTTTTGTGGACTGCCTCTCCTCTTAGTAAAAAATCTCTGAGCAACTCTTGGCCCACACCTCCTGGGGAGATATTGTAATCCTTGAGTTAAACCTGCCGGGAGGAGATCTCCGTGTTCCTTGCTGGGCATTCCCAGAGTTAAATTTTGGTCATGCTGAGTTGGGAGTTGGAGGGAAGAAGTGGATCATAGTTCAAGTACAACAGACTTTTGCTGTTCTTATTAAGTTTTAGCAAATTTCCTTGAACAAATGTTTCTTCATTTGCTGTGTGCCCCATGACAACCTCCAGAGACTTTAAGTGATTGTTTCTGAATACTTTTTTTTTACCAGTTTTGCTTATTTTACTGGGAAGGAGTCTTTAGAGCTTCTTGTCTTGCCATTCTGGAAATGTATTTGTGTTTCCAGTCAAATCTATTACCCAGTGTTTTAATTGGGTGTTTGTAAATTATTGTTGAGCTTTAGAAGTTCTTTGTATATTCTGGATAAAAATCCTTTGTCATATATCTGATCTGAGAATATTTCTATCAATCTATGGCTTGTCTTTTCATTCTCTTAACAGAATATGATTTCTAATTTTGATAATCAGTTTATCAATTATTTTATTGATCATGGTTTTTGGCGATTTTTGTATCAGAAGCCTCATCAATCAAGATCATGCAGGTTATCAGGTTTTCTTCTAGATGTTTCATAGTTTTACATTGTGTAAATTTTTTAATGAGATGTGAGGATATGTGTCAAGACTTATTTTATTTTACATGTGAAGGTCCAATTGCTTCAGCACCATTCATTGAAATGATAAAACTTTGAATGACCTTTGTACTCTTTTTTTTTTGAGACAGAGTTTCGCTCCTGTTGCCCAGACTGGAGCGCAATGGCACGGTCTCAGCTCACTGAAACTTCTGCCTCCCGGGTAGAAGCGATTCTCCTGCCTCAGCCTCCGGAGCAGCTGGGATTACAGGCGCTTGCCACCACGCCCAGCTAAATTTTTTGCATTTTTAGTAGAGACAGGGTTTCACCTTGTTGGCCAGGCTAGTTTCAAACTCCTGACCTCAAGTGATCCACCCACCTTGGCTTCCCAAAGTGCTGGGATTACAGGCGTGAGTCACCGCACCCAGACACCTTTGTACTTTTTCATTGTCAGTTAACTTTATTAGTGTATTTGTTTCTGAGGTCTGTATTATATACCACTGATGTATGTTTCTATCCTTTCCCAATGTCATACCATTTAAAATTCCTAGTAAGTTTGTAGAAAGTCTTGAAAGTGTATAATGCGAATCCTTTTAATGGATTTTTCTATATCACATTAATTTTGTCTACTCTAATACCTTTGTTTTTCCAAATACATTTTACAATCAGTTTGTTGATACCTATGAAATACTTGCTGTGATTTTGATTGGTGTTGCTTTGACTATATAGATCAAATTGGGGATACATGACATTTTAACAATATTGAATCTTTTAATAGAAGAAAATAATATATTTCTCCACGTATTTAGATATTCATTATTTTTTTCCATCGGTGTTTTGTAGTTTTTAGCATACAGATTATGCATGAATTTGGTTAAGTTTATATATAAGTGATTAATTTTTTTGTTGCTACTACATATTTCCTTCAAATTCCAAATGTTTTTTGCTGACATATAGGAACATGATTAACTTTTATGTGCTTATATACTGAGATCTTGCTGAACTTATTCATTTGTTCTAAGAACTTTTGGGAATGTAGATTTTCTTAGATTTTTAAACGTGATTTCTAGATTGTGTGATTGGTGATATTCCTATATAGAATGTAAAGTTTAAAAATTGTTTTTGTTTTTAAATCAGAGTGATAAAAACTGAGGGGTAATTGGGTGTGAGGTACCCTTTGGGATATGCATGTAGACATTTTCAAAGCACATTGAATATCTTGGTCTAGAACTCATTAAGAACAAGAGATTGGGATGACAGTTTATGGACCAATCAACATAGAGATGCTAATTAAAGTCATGGGCATGAGTGAGACCATCTACAGTGTGTCTTTACACTTAGAAAAAGTCAGAAATAAATACTGTTGAAGAGAATGTATATAGTTTTCTGTCATTTTTTTTCTTTTATTTATACAACTGCTTAATGTTGGAAAAGGGATAGCAGAACAGAATTACTCTCTATTGTCTTTCAGTATCACCTCCTGGTAATAAGAAAATATGCAGAAAAGAACACAGCAGGCCAGAGATTGCTATCCTGAGGAAGGCCTCCTTACAAGGTTGACCCAGCTGGCATTCCAGAACTTGGATTTGGGAGTGTTTCCACCATTTCCTGGTAAGAATGGTAAGAATAACTCACTGTACCTAAACTGTTTGTACAAACAATGTGCTTTAAGTTGAATACCTGATTTCCATCTGGGAATCTGGAATTTTGGCACATGCTAGGCAGAGGGTGCCTATATGACCAACCCTCAACAAAAACTCTGGACATGGAGTCTCTAATTAGATCCTCTGGTAGACAACAGTTCACACATGTTGTCATATCTTGTTGCTAATGTAATCGAGTGAATCCTGTGTGACTCCCCTGGGAAAGGATTCATGGAAGCTTGCTCCTGGTTACTGGATTTACTGGTTACTGCTACTGGATTTACCTCATGAGTCTTTTCTATTGCTCATTTTGCTTTTTATCCTGTGATGTAACAAATCATAGCCACGAGTATGACTATATGCTAAGTCCTGTGAGTTGAATTATGAAACTCAGGAGAGAAGGGATTGGGAGGCCCAAGTTATAGGAGGCTTTTATCATTTAATTACCATTTATATATACATGCTACATGTAATTTTCCTTAGTGGCTTTTAGAATTTTTACCTTATACTTGGTTCTACAATTTTGTTATGCTGTGCCTACATATGACTTTTTTTCTTAATTGACCGTATCACTTGATGTAACATTTCAGTTGGAGGACGCATGAGTCTTTTGACTGCTGGCTATGTCTCTGCCAGTCTCTTTTTCAATATTCCTTCTCTGCTATTTTAATAGATGGATTCCAGAGCTTCTGTGCCATTTATGTGTTACATAATTTCTATCTGTTTTACTACCTCTTTATCTCTGTGTGCTGTATTCTGAAAGATTTCCATCATTCTTCCTTAATTTGCTAATTCATTTTTTTAATACTTCAAGTTTTGATGTACATGTGCGGAATGTGCAAGTTTGTTACATATATTTACGTGCCATGGTGGATTGCTGTATCCATCAACCTGTCATCTACATTAGGAATTTCTCCTAATGCTATCCTCACCTAGCCGCCCACCCCCCAGCAGGCCCCTGTGTGTGATGTTACCCTCTCTGTGTCCATGTGTTCTCATTGTTCAACTCCCACTTATGAGTGAGAACATGTGGTGTTTGGTTGTCTGTTTCTGTGTTAGTTTGCTGAGAATGGTGGTTTCCAGCTTCATCCATGTCCCTGCAAAGGACATGAACTCATCCTTTTTTATAGTTGCATAGTATTCCATGTTGTATATGTGCCACATTTTCTTTATCCAGTTTATCGTTGATGGACATTTGGGTTGGTTTCAAGTCTTTGCTATTGTGAATAATGCTGTAATACATGTGTCTGTGTCTTTATAGTAAAATGATTTATAATCCTTTGGATATATACCCACTAATGGGATTGCTGGGTCAAATGGTGTTTCCGGTTTTAGATCCTTGAGGAATCGCCACACTGTCTTCCACAGTAGTTGAACTATTTAACACTCCCACCAACAGTGTAAAAGCGTTCCTATTTCTCCACATCCTCTCCAGCATCTGTTGTTTACTGACTTTTTAATGATTGCCATTCTAACTGGCATGAGATGGTATCTCGTTGTGGTTTTGATTTGCATTTCTCTAATGACCAGTGATGATGAACTTTTTTTCATGTTTGTTGACTGCATAAATGTCTTCTTTTGAGAAGTTTCTGTTCATATCCTTTGCCCACTTTTAATAGGGTTTTTTTTCTTGTAAATTTGTTGACGTTCCTTGTAGATTCCAGATATTAGTCCTTTGTCAGATTGATAGATTTCAAAAATTTTCTCTCATTCTGTAGCTTGCTTGTTCATACTGATGATAGTTTCTTTTGCTCTGCAGAAGCGCTTTAGTTTAATTAGATCCCATTTGTCAATTTTGGCTTTTGTTGCCATTGCTTTTGTTGTTTTAGTCATAAAGTCTTTGTGCATGCCTATGTCCTGAATGGTATTGCCTAGGTTTTCTTCTAGGGTTTTTATGTTTTTAGGTCTCACGTTTAAGTCTTTAATCCATCTTGAGTTAATTTTTGTGCAAGGTGTAAGGAAGGGGTCCAATTTCAGTTTTCTGCATATGGCTACCCAGTTTTCCCAAAACCATGTATTAAATAGGGAATCATTTTTCCTCATTGCTTGTTTTTTCAGATTTGTCAAAGATCAGATTGTTGTAGATGTGCGGCGTTACTCCTGAGGCCTCCCTTCTGTTCCATTGGTCTATATATGTGTTTTGGTACAAGCAACATGCTGTTTTGGTTATTGTAGTCTTGTAGTATACTTTGAAGTAAGGTAGTGTGATGCCTCCAGCTTTGTTCTTTTTGCTTAGGATTGTCTTGGCTATACGGACTCTTTTTTGGTTTCATATGAAATTTAAAGTTGATTTTTCTAATTCTGTGAAGAAAGTCAATGGTAGCTTGATGGGGATAGCACTGAGTCTATAAATTACTTTGGGCAATATGGCCATTTTCACAATATTGCGTCTTCCTATCCATGAGCTTGGAATGTTTTTCCATTTGTTTGTGACCTCTCTTATTTCCTTGAGTAGTGCTTTGTAGTTCTCCTTGAAGAAGTCCTTCACATCTCTTGTAAATTGTGTTCCTAGGTATTTTATTCTCTTCGTAGCAATTGTGAATGGGAGTTCACTCATGATTTGGCTCTCTGTTTGTCTGTTATTGGTGTATAGGAATGCTTGTGATTTTTGCACGTTGATTTTGTATCCTGAGACTTTACTGAAATTTGAAGTTGCTTATCAGCTTAAGGAGATTTGGGGCTGATAGGATGGTGTTTTCTAAATATATAATCATGTCATCTGCAAACAGAGACAATTTGACTTCCTCTCTTCCTATTTGAATACTGTTTATTTCTTTCTCTTGACTGATGGCCCTGGCCAGAACTTACAATACCGTGTTGAATAGCAGTGGTGAGAGATGGCATCCTTGTCTTGTGCCGGTTTTCAAAGAGAATGCTTCCAGCTTTTGCCCATTCAGTGTGATATTGGCTCTGGGTTTGTTATAAATAGTTCTTATTATTTTGAGATACGTTCCATCAATACCTAGTTTATTGAGAGTTTTTAGCATAAAGGAGTGTTAAATTATATCAAAGGCCTTTTCTGCATCTATTGAGATAATCATGTGGTTTTTGTCTTTGGTTCTGTTTATGTGATGGATTACATTTATTGATTTGCATATGTTGAACCAGCCTTTCATCCTAGGGATGAAGCCAACTGATCATAGTGGATAAGCTTTTTGATGTGCTGCTGGATTTGGTCTGCCAGTATTTTATTAGGAATTTTCATATCGATGTTCATCAGGGATATTGGCCTGAAATTTTCTTTTTCTGTTGTGTCTCTGCCAGGTTTTGGTATCAGGATGATGCTGACCTCATAAAATGAGTTAGGGAGGAGTGGCTCTTTTTCTATTGTTTGGGATAGTTTCAGAAGGAATGGTACCAGGTCCTCTTTATACCTCTGGTAGAATTCAGCTGTGAATCCATCTAGTTCTGCACTTTTTTTGGTGGGTTTTAGAACTTGTTATTGGTCTATTCAGGGATTTGATTTCTTCCTGGTTTAGTCTTGGGAGGGTGTATGTGTCCAGGAATTTATCAATTTCTTCTAGATTTTCTAGTTTATTTGTGTAGAGGTGTTTATAGTATTCTCTGATGGTAGTTTGTATTTCTGTGGGATCAGTGGTGATATCCCCTTTGTCATTTATTATTGTGTCTATTTGATTCTTCTCTCTTTTCTTCTTTAATAGTCTGGCTAGTGGTCTATATATTTTGTTAATCTTTTCAAAAAACCAGCTCCTGGATTCATTGATTTTTTGAGGGTTTTTTTTTTTTTTGTGTGTGTGTGTGTTTGTGTCTCTATCTCCTTCAGTTCTGCTCTAATCTTAGTTATTTCTTGTCTTCTGCTAGCTTTTGAAATTGTTTGCTCTTGTTTCTCTAGTTCTTTTAATTGTGATGTTAATTTTAATCTTTCCTGCTTTCTTCTGTGGGCATTTAGTGCTATAAATTTCCCTCTAAACACTGCTTTAGCTGTGTCCCAGAGATTCTGGTATGCTGTGTCCCAGATATTCTGGATAATTGTGTCATTGTTCTCATTGGTTTCAAAGAACTTATTTATTTCTGCCTTTATTTTGTTATTTACCCAGCAGTCATTCAGGAGCAGGTTGTTCAGTTTCCATGTAGTTGTGCAGTTTTGAGTGAGTTTTTTAATCCTGAGTTCTAATTTGATTGCACTGTGGTCTGAGAGACTGTTTGTTATTATTTCCGTTCTTTTGCATTTGCTGAGAAGTGTTTTACTTCCAATTATGTGGTCAATTTTAGAATAAGTGCAATGTGGTACTAAGAATAATGTATATTCTGTTGATTTGGGGTAATGAGTTCTGTAGATGTTTATTAGGTCCTCTTGGTCCAGAGCTGAGTTCCAGTCCTGAATATCATTGTTATTTTCTGTCTTGTTGATCTGTCTAATATTGACAGTGGGATGTTAAAGTCTCCCACTATTATTGTGTGGGAATCTAAGTCTCTTTGTAGCTTTTATTCGGTTGTGCCCAGATATGTTTGGCTCTGTGTCCCCACCCACATCTCATCTCAAATTGTAACCCCCACTTGTTGAGGGAGGGATCTGGTGGGAAGTGATTGAATCATGAGGGTAGTTTCCCCCATGCTGTTCCCATGAGATCTGATGGTTTAAAAGTGTGGCATAGCCCTACTTGCGCTCTCTCTCCCCTGCTGCCATGTAAGACGTGCCTTGATTCCCTTTTACCTTCTGCCATGATTGTAAGTTTCCCCAGGACCCTCCAGTCATGCAGAACGGTGAGTCAATTAAACTTCTTTTCTAAATTACCTAGTCTCAGGTAGTTCTTTATAGCAGTATGAAAATGGAATAATAGATGGCCCATCTACTATTTGGTCACATCTACAGACTTTTAAAGTAAAAATGACTATGTCTTTTATTAACTAAGACTCTTACTTTTTTCTATATCCTTACTTTACTGCATAGTTTCTTATTTCTGGTACATGGGTGCTATTCCTTCCTTTCTATATTTGAGGATTATTATGTTAAAGTTCAGTGGATCTATTAAGTTATTCTTCAAGTATATCTTCTCTTCTTTGGAAATAGCATTCCTCATATGTTTTCTAATTGTTTCTGTGAGTTCATCTTCTGTGGGAATTACTATAAATGAGAATGTTTTCATCCTGAGATGTGGAGGCCTCTCTGGGTAGTGTTTTGCTCTTGCTTCTTCTTGGCCTCATTAGGCTTATTTTGCTTTTAAGCAGATTTGTTTTTATGTGACCATCATGAATTCAGGCTCAGCACCCTCAAAATGCAAATTTGGGTTTCTAGTTTATGGAATTTTTCTTCCTACAGTCCAGGTTTGTAACTTGATCCAGCAGTGACTTTTAGCCCCAGCCTGATGTCAGATATACAATCCCACTTCTGCATCCCTGCTATGTAGACTGTAGTTTTTGCTTCTTCTTTGTAACTGCATTAGAAACCCAAGCACCTTGGCCTCTGCCTAATCCTGATATTCCAAAGCCATTCAGATTGAATTATTCCTTTTGAGAATTCCTTTTCTGATTCTGGCACTTAGAAATTTATTTCCCTTTATTAATTTATTTATATGTTATCAAACATTTTAATTAGTTTTGAGTACGGGGGAAATTAGAATGTGTATTCTATGCTTAATCAACAATCTGGACTCAAGTTCGGAATGTATGTGCTTATGACATGGATTACATAGATATTTGTACCATAAAACATAATATTATGTGCAAATTTACCAATATACAGAATGAATCTTCATAAAAACTGAGTTAATCAGCATTACAATTTTGAGTATAAGTCATTTAGAATAAAGTTAACTTCAATCTCTCTGTCAGCTCTTCCACCCACACTGCTCTAGATAATGCTAGAGCATTATCTAGACAATGCATTATCTAGACAATAGCATTAACAATGCTGGGTTGTCAGTGGAAATTGTTTTTTCTGCATAATTATTTACTGTGGTTTCAGTAGTCTGAGACTTTGCTTTTGGAGAAGTTTATAGCTTTGAACTATTTCTCTACCTTTTGTTCATCTTTCCTATAGGTGGCTGTGCAAGAAGAGCATTTGTTGTAAGATTTTTCTCCTAGTACCATCATTTTTCATGGCCTTGTGTCACTTGGCACATAACACGGGAACTAGTGAATGCTCCAATGTTTTAACTGTCAGTCACCATGAACTACTTTATGAAACGGGCTTAACAGCTCATAAACTGAAAGCAATTCTGTTTACTGCCATCTCTAGGTTCATAGATTGTTTGTAGCCTGCTACTGTTCTAGCAACACTTAGGGGCAAAGCACCTAAAGTACTTTATGTATTTCTTGATGTTTCTTAAGAAGAGCCGATTTTGTGAGCATCCTTGAATTTTTTTCATCTAATATAATAGGATTAGACCTTGAGGTGACTATGTCAGAACTACTGACAGCTTTTTACAACATGCAGTGCATGACTATATCTACTATATCTAGAAGTTTTTGGAGGAGGAGAAATAGTCCTACAGCAACAGTATTTGAGGATGAATAAATGGATTCACTATACTTTTTTTTAAGCCTGTCGCTGTAGGTTAATTGTCGCCTTCTTTTCTTTGTCTTGTTGGCCTGTCAGCACTTTTGTCTTAGTCTTGAATTGCTTTACTCTCTGCTGAAGGTAGATGTATATTCTGAAAATAAACTTGAATCTATTAAAGTGGCTAACATATAGTGATGGCCCTGTTTTGTAAATTGAGTTCAGATATAGGCTATCTATCTGTTTGGCAGCAAGAGAGGTACCTTTTGGTCTGAATTTTACTGTTTGAGATGTTAGAGTTGCTTTCTAAGGTGGATAGGGGTCAGGGTAGTATCAGATTCACACATTACTGTCTTTACTGAATTTATACGAACGACCTCCTTTGAAGATTGAAGAATCCAACACAAGTATGCATAAGGCTCCTCTCAACCAGACAATACGATTTTCACCCCTTTTTCATTTTAAGAGATGTTATTGGCTTTTAATATGTACAAATTTTTAAAAAAGCTCTCAGAAAAGCTATACAATTGTAAGAGAATATTGACAATCATGAACACATAGAAGATAATTTGGTTACAAAGTTTGCAAGATTAAAAATTTATGATTTTTCTCTTCATGTCTAAGATCATTTGGTTATGTTCCTAATAAAACTCTGCCTGTGGAAATCACCAGCATTAGTATTTAATATTACAGCACCCTTGTGAGAAAGATAAGTATTATTGTCCCTTTCTTACAGAAACAAAGAAGGAAATGACTCCCGTGGCAACATTATCTGTAGTAGACATGAGTATTAACGTTGTGAAATGTTCAATTTCTGTTCCTCAACTATAATTACTGCCACATAGGTAGGGCAAAAACTAGCTAAGCAACCACCAGCATCAAGGGAAATAATCACATATAATGTAAGTGTTATATATATACATATATATATATTCTTAATTTTTGATTAGATTTCAAATTCATCTACCATCTTTTACATATTTGAAGAATATTTGGAGTTAATATATCATTCCTATACTTACATCAATGGAAAAGATTTTCATCTTATAAACAAGTCCCCTTATGGAAAAAAATAACCTGTTTCTTTTATAAGGTGGTAACCATTCTCTGAATTTACCCCATAGCAGCTGCATATTTTAAAGGATTCCTGGGACTTAAAACTCAGTATTCAATTGATTTCAATTTCCTGTAATTATCCTGTGGACTTTATCTCTAATGAATTCTGTGCCCCAAACATCTTAAGTGGCTAACATATGGCACAGTCAGTAAGCGGATGATTAAGGGCACACATCCAGATCTGCATAAGCATGTTTCTCTTTGCCTGCTTGCCTTCACCTCTCACTCCTTCCCTCCCTCCCTTCCATTCTCCCTCCCTCCCTCCCTCCCTGGCTCCTTCCTTCCTTCCTCCCTCCCTTCCCCCTTCCTTCCTTCCTCCCTTTCTCCCTCCCTCCCTACCGCCTCCCTCCCTCCCTACTGCCTCCCTCCCTCCCTCACTTCCACCTCCCTCCCTCCCTCCCTTCCTCCTTCCTTCCTTCCTTCCTTCCTTCCTTCCTTCCTTCCTTCCTTCCTTCCTTCTTTGCTTCTTTCTTTTCTTCTTTCTTTAAATTTCTTAAACTTAAATTTGTGAGTTATCTGGAGAAGCTCTAGTAGACTTTATTTATTTTTTTATCTTTTTTAAATTTTTTAAAATTATACTTTAAGTTCTAGGGTACATGTGCACAATGTACAGGTTTGTTACATATGTATACTTGTGCCATGTTGGTGTGCTGCACCCATCAACTCGTCATTTACATCAAGCTCGTCATTTACATCAGGTATAGCTCCCAATGCCATCCCTCCCCCCAACCCTCCCCATAATAGGCTCCAGTGTGTGATGTTCCCCTTCCCGAGTCCAGGTGATCTAATTGTTCAGTTCCCACCTATGAGTGAGAACATGTGGTGTTTGGTTTTCTGTTCTTGTGATAGTTTGCTGAGAATGATGGTTCCCAGCTGCATCCATGTCCCTACAAAGGACACAAACTCATCCTTTTTTATGGCTGCATAGTATTCCATGGTGTATATGTGCCACATAAAGAGAGGTTTACTGTCATTACTCATACAAGAAATAACTCTTGCTAAACTGATGAGGTACCTCCATATTAGACAACATATGTGGATACTGATTTGCTATTCTAGTAACTTCTAGGTCTCAGTTGGCCAAGGTCCACCACATACTGGCTAAATGTGTTTCGGTTGTTTCATTTCAATAAAAAGATATCAAACATTTGACTTTCTAGTTTTTTAAAAAAAGTTCCAAGAGTTTATCTATCAAAGTTTGCTCAAGCCTGTAATCCCAGCACTTTGGGAGGCCGAGACGGGCGGATCACAAGGTCAGGAGATCGAGACCATCCTGGCGAACCCGGTGAAACCCCGTCTCTACTAAAAAATACAAAAAACTAGCTGGGCGAGGTGGCGGGCGCCTGTAGTCCAAGCTACTCAGGAGGCTGAGGCAGGAGAATGGCGTGAACCCGGGAGGTGGAGTTTGCAGTGAGCTGAGATCCGGCCACTGCACTCCGGCCTGGGTGACAGAGCGAGACCCCGTCTCAAAAAAAAAAAAAAAAAAAAGAAAGAAAGAATGGAAATATTTAGGGAAATAGGTCTTATGAAGTTTTCCAGCCTATTTTTTAAACATACCCAAATATATTTAAATAAATAGCATATGCAAACTTTGTGAACCCATTGTGTGAGTAAGCACACATAGATTTAAAACTGCCGAGATAAATCTGTTTATGGGACAGCATTAATACTATGTTAAGAAGCTTTAAAGAAATAAGGTATCAGTTTCTCTAACGCATTTTTCCCGGTATCCACAAAAGTTGCTCTCAAAGAAACTTATCTACTTGAACTATCACAAATAAATTCTCCTCTAAGATTAAAATTCAGACGTTTAAAAAAAATGATAGAAGGGAAAGAACAAATTCCCCGCAGTGGACAACCTAGAGTCTTCCTCCTCATGATGAATACCATTTTGCATGGAATATGACCACATTATAGACTTTGCTGATTAAAGACAATCTCATAATTACCTTTCTGTTTATCTTCCCATTTGTGCCAATGTACATTTTTAGAGGTATACAACTTTATATTTAATTTTTCTATGTATGTGCATATCTTATGTCTGCTTTTGAATGACAAGATTCTGATGTTAGGAGATGGCATAATTTTGGCTCTTTGCCACAATCTGCACCAGGAATCTTTAATTCAATTGGTGCTCAATTATTTTATTTTATTTTTTTTGCTATTCAATTTAACATTGATCTTAAGCAGTGCTGTGATTTCCATTGTCAACATCATTATTTAAGTAACATTCATGTGCCGCTGTGCTGTGAAGGTTTCTCAGGAGTTGCATATGAATGTTCTCATTTAATTTTCAAAGCAACCTGGTGAACTAAGCCTTCCAAAATTAACACACTTGGCCATATTCCATTGGCTAATCTGGAATGCTCTATGCATGTGCCATCTGCGAATGGAGTGAAAATATTCTGCCAAACCAACCAGATCATTGATGTTTTTATTTTTTAACTTGATAATATATTTTCATATAAGCAAGTAAGATGCACAATTGTTTATAAAACTATGGAGGCAAAATAATATTATATAATACAGAGGATTTTTATATTTCCATGTTTGATCACAAATATCCTGCAAAAGAAAAAAGTTAATGAAAATATTAATAATTATGATACACCTCTGAAAATCACACAGATATGGGTGTCTCAGATTTCTTAACGAGACCTTTAAATACTAAGAAAAATCTGTTTAGTTTTAACTATGCAAACAATGACTCACATATACTAAGTATAGCTTCCAGCCCCCAAATATGTGTATATAATTTGTTAATTACCCAAATATATGAATTATATGACCATTTTTAAATAGAAGGCAATATGTTAACTATACACACTCCTTTGTGAAATTTGTAAACAATAGCGTTACAAAAATACATATTTTATATAATTTAAATCATTATATACTAACTGGATTTTTAATTGTGCTCTGTCATAAGAGTAAGTTTATATGTGTGTAATTTAAAAATCTCATCATTTTGTAAAATACAGAAAACTATAGATAAGTACTGTTAACATTTTGATACATTTTGGTTCTATCTCACATGAGTGTATGTGTGTGTGTATATATATGTACACATACATGTATACATACATATATTTATAACATAAGTAATTGTGGTTATTTTTTAATATACTTTATTTTTTAGGGACGTTTTATGTTTACAGAAAATTTGAGCAGAAGGTATAGAAATTTCCTCTATACTCTCTGCACCTGTTATGTACAGCTCTCCCACTATCACCATCCTGCACAAAAGTGGTACATTTGTTACAGTCCATGAACTTACACTGACATATCGTTATCACCCAAAGTTCATAGTTTACATGAGGGGTCACCCTGGCATATTCTTTGGGTTTTGACAAATGTATAACAACATGTATGCACCATTTCAGTGTTCTAAAGATGAGTTTCCTGCCCTAAATATCTGTGCTTTGCCTATTCATCCCTCCCTTCCCCTCTACCCTCTGGAAGCCAGTGATCCTTTCACTGTCTTTGTAGTTATTTAATGTTAACATTATGTGGATAATTTAGTTTATAAGCACATTCCATATCATTAAAAATGTCAAATTATAGTTTTATACAATTATATAATATTGTTTTGAGATATTATTCCCATATTTTTTTGCCATACAGTTTTTACCATTCTCATATTGTTGGATATTTACTTATGTTCTTTTTATTGCTATTATAAATAGTTCTCTTTGGAAAAATTTTGTTCATTAATTTTTGAAAAATATTATGTTTCTCTTAGCATACAGCACAAATGTTGAAGGCCATATTTTCCTATTGCTGAGACCAAAAAGGTTGATTTCATCCACTACTACTCCATTTCTCTACTCCCT